CAGTATATTGGAGTTGGTAAATTCAAGAGTGCCATGCATTAACAAACGTCCAAATCTGCTGCCAAATTTAACAGCTAGAAAATCGACCTATTGTTTGCCGCATTCCCATTTGCTGAGGGGATAACGGATTGTTAAATATATCAAAATAGATGAAAGTTGTCCTGTTTTTTCTGTACAAAAGCATCATGTTGGAATCAAAAAGTGGTCTTGTTTATAATACAGTCGAATTTTCACGATTTTATTCAATATTTCAACTACTAATATTCAGAGACCTTTGACAGCTCTCGTCATTGCATTTCGATAAGGTATTTTCCCATTGGTCCATAATATTAATGTTGGTGAAATTGGCCATAAATTTGATATAACTTTTCATCCATTAAACAGATGGTTGGAGGTCGTTTCTAATTCGGATCTTCTACTACAAGAATTATCAATGTGACCGAAATAAATATGAGTGGAGGAGATATTTTGTTCCAATAAAATGTCAGTGGACGTTTTCTTACTGCTGCCGAGTCACCACTGCCTCTTTCTATTGCAAATCGTGGTGATGCTAATGAAAATAGACGTTTCCGTTGAAATATGGAAGGAATTTAACCGCCAGACAGGCAGGACGGATTCCATGCACAAATCTATCGGATTGAACGTTGGATGGAAACGTTCAATGTAATAGAATTTCACAATCGGATTTCTTTTGCAGATTGTATCCACGTATGTGCTGAGAGAAAAAGCAGCTCGATTTCAATATACCTGCTCTGGTACAGGGCACAAGATGTCAGAGATTTCTTTCTAGAGTACCAATTTATGTCGGATTTCGTATTTGGCAATAAAAAGCTATGACTGCGGACATAAAACCGTATTGCAATAAAATATCTAGTCTTGAATCTAGCACTATAGTTTTCATAGATTCGTACGAATGAATCGAAAACTTCTCTCGGACGTAAGACCTGGAGATGATTACTATCTGAGAGCGGTGAGGTATGGGAAAGGTAAATGCTTTTATTTTAATTTTATACAGGGTATAAACGTTATGGTAGTCATTATTGTTCATATGACCCATGGTCCAAAAGTCAATAGATTTTTGTCTAAATGGCACCCAGACAGAAGGACATTTGTGCAAGTGTACCAAAGACTTCGAGGTACAGAAAGTGTTCAGCCCACTAATATTCGCACTCGTGAAAGACAGGTTACTGTAGAGCAGGACGAACAAATTTTAAATATCGTGGAAATCAATGCAGATATCAAAACTCGGGAATTAGGCCGCCGCGTAGGACTATCGCATGCCATAGTCCATAGAATCCTACGGAAAAATTTGCTTTATCCCTACCATGTACGACGAGTGCAGGCCTTGTTACCAGAAGACTATCCTCGCATACTAACATTCTGTCAGTGGTTTTCGCACAAAAACATTGAAAATCCGGATTTTTTAAAAACATTCTAGCGACGGACGAATGTACTTTTACGCAAGACGGGATATTAAATTTCCATAATACTCACACGTGGGCCCAAGAAAATCCTCATACCATTCGTGAAGGTCATTTCTAACAACGTTCTAAAATAAATATTTGGGCGGGTATTCTTGACGATCAGGTAATTGGCCCTTTCGAGTTACCCCCAAAGTTGTCAGGAGAAGGATACCTTAGCTTTCTAGCCAATAACCTACCAGAACTTTTGGAACAGACCTTAGACAACATGCCATTACAACGGAGACAGGATTTGTGGTTTCTTCATGATGGGGCACCGCCACACATTTTTAGAGGCGTGATTTAGTATTTGAATGAACATTATCCAAATCGCTGGATCGGTCGAAATGCTCCTGATCCTAGAAAATGGCCAGAAATATGTGGCAAGATTCTGGTATTGGTGCGGACTTAAAGGGATGGTTTATGGGGCTGGTCCAATAAAAACTGAAGCACAACTTCGCGTTAAAAAAATTTAACGCGGCTGAAATAATAAATGGACAACTTCGAGCACCTAGAGTAAGAAGAAACTGGGTTCGTCGTAATGAAGTTTGTGTGAAAATTGGAGGACGACATTTTGAACACCTTCTTTAAATACAAAAAAGTGCAGTGTGGGTTTTGAAAAGAAAAACAATGTATGTATCAAAATTGTGTTTCCTATTTATAAGTAGATTTTTTTAATACGTTCAATAAACTTTCACACACCAGGTGAAGCGCTGAGACAGTTGGTAGTAAGTCCGTTTTTTTTAATTGTTTGCATTTTACGAGTACATTATCAAATAATGAAATAATACCTTAGAGCCAAAAATAACAAACACCATCTTTATTTACACTGCGGTCCGTCGTAATTTACGTCTGGCATTGCGGCGTTGTCAGATTTTATTTTACTTTAAAGTCGCTTTTCTCTAAAAAAATGCCGTTTTGACTCCCATCTTATATGAAACTTTTTGCTTCTTTAATCTCCTCTATCACACATTTAAATAATGACTATCATAACGTTTACACCCTGTATAAAACGTGATAAGAATCTGCAGCTTGAGCTTAACACTATGGGCAGTGGTGCAATTCTAGAAACAATGGCAGGCAAAAAAAATCCATTTCGTTATATTCAAAAGCAGTCATGGATGAAATATTCTATCCAAGCGAGAGGAGGTCTGAGGCGGACCAAGGAGATATAAGGTTTGGAGGCAATTCAAGGAGAGACAGGGTAATCCAAGGAGATCGTTGGTAGTTTAAACAGATCTGCGGTTATCCATTAATATTACCTGTATCTATCTCAATGGTAGGAGATTCGATGCACACCAACGAGATTTGATATAGCACCGGAAGGAGACCAAAATCCGAGGTTCAGGGGCAATCGAAACAGATCCGCGGTTAACTAAGAATATTTTCTATCTCAGTGGGGGAAGATCTGATGCATTCCAAGAAGGTTTTCTTGCACTGGAAGGAGATGTAAGGCAACCCAATGAGATACAAGATGCAGAGGGGATTCAAAGAGATCCGGAGTAATCCAAGAAGATTCGAGGCAAGTCATACAGATATGCGGTTATTCAGTAATAGTTTTCTATCTCATTGGGAGGAGATCTGACCCAGTCCAAGATTTCCAATTACATTGGAAGAAGATCTGAGGCAAACTACACCCGATGCAATCCAAAGGAATTCGATGCGATTCAAACGGATCTGCAGTTATCCAAGAATATGTTCTATCCAAACCTTGGAAAAAGGTGTAGGGCAATTCAATACATTTCAAGGTTCAGAGACAATTCAAGGAGATTTGAGCTAATCCAGAAAGATCAGAGGCAACTCAAACAAATCTGCGGTTATCCAAGGATATTTTGTACCTCAATGAGAGAAAATCCAACGAGATTTTCTATACCACAGGAAGGAGGAACGGGGCATTCCAAGGAGATCCAAGGTTCTGCGGCAATTCAAACCGATCTGCGGTTATCGAAGAATATTTCCTATCTCAGTGAAAGCCTGGCTGTCGTGGATCATTGTTATCCTTCTCCTATGCCCTGCTCCCTCCAGAAAGCCTGAAATAATCCAAGAATATCCACGACAATTCAAACATATATTCGGTTATCTAAGAATATTTTACTATCTCGATGCAATAATAGGAGATTTTCTATCGCATTGGTAAACGATCTGAGGCAAACTACATCCGAAGTTATGCTAATGAGATCCCAGGATCAGAGGAAATTCAAGGAGATCCGTGGTAATCCAAGTATATCCGAAGGAATTCAAACAGATCTGGCAATCATACAGAGCTGCGGTTATCCAAAAATATATTTCTATCTCAATGAGGGTTCCGATGCAATCCAAGGAGATTTTTTACAGCATTGGTGAGAAAACTACATCCAAAGTAAACCAAAGAGATCCGATGCACTTGACACGGATCTGCAGTTATCCAAGAATATTTTTTATCTCAATGGGAGGAGATCGGATGCAATCCAAATAATTTTCTATACTATTGGAAGGAGGTGTGGGGCAACCCAATGAGATCCTAGCTTCAGAGGCAATTCGAGGAGATCCGGGGTAATCGTAGAATATCCGAGGCAATTCAAACAAATCTGCGGTTATCCAAGAATATTATCTATTTAAATGGGAGGAGATCCGATGCAATCCAACGAGATTTCCTAAAGCACTGGAATGAGGTTTGAGGCAATCCAAGGAGACCCGAGGTTTAGAAGTAATGATCCAGGGTGAATGAATGAAATGAATGAGATTAGAAACATACCATCCACAATGCTCACACATGGGATCCTCAGCCACCCCCATCACATGCAGGTGACGTCTCATCGTGTCATGGCCAGACAACGGTCCCACCAACAACCTTAGGTTGGCTCTATCCAGCGATAAGCAAAATCATACCTTCTTTAGCACTAGACCCTAAGATGAGCTTCCATGCCTGGCGAAAATGTCTAGAAATACCTTCAGAGAATGTTGCCTAGATATCCACTTCTCCGATACCATGCTGACCCATAATACCGGTTGCCTCGCTAAACTATCCAGAGAAGCCCTGCATTGTGATGCAAGGCTCGAAGTAATATTGCAGGTACTTAGTGCCTTTATCACTGCCAGGCCGGAGAAGGTTGTTATTCTTCTCCTATGCCCTTCCGAGGCAACTCATGCAAAGGCATCAACTACTTCAGCCATTCCAGCCATCTCCCCTCAATAGATCTTGCCCATTATCCTCTTTAAACTAGGGATCGACCGATACCGATATATGATATCGGCATATCGGCGATATCGGCCTTTTTGACCGATATGCGTATCGGCCGATATGGCCGCCCATATGCCGATATAGGTTGGCCGATATAAAAAAGGTTAACATTGTTGAATGAAACAGACAAAAGCTAGAAAAACATTCACTTTATTTAAATGAATTAAAGTAACATTTGTCTCTAACATATATCTATAAAAAACGAAACGTAACAGCCATATTCAGTCTTAATTTTTTTGAAAATTTAAGGAAAATGAGTAAATAAAAATTAAACATGAAAAATACTGCTTGATCTTTAAGAAAGGTGTAAATTAAGATAATTAATACTTAAAATTTAACTTAGGCAAATTGTGGTGTACAAATAATAAAGCTTCCGCCCTATCAGGTGTTAACCTGCTTCGTCTGGCATCATAAATGTTGCCTGCCTCAGGAAAAACTTGTTCACTCGCTACACTCCCAGCTGGTGCCGACAAATATATGGCAGCTGGTGGGAAAAGTTTGGCAAATCGCAATTTATTATCATTCCACCACTGAACAGGATTGTCAAATCTTGCAATCACTGGTAGATTGGCATACGCATTAATTTCCTTGTCTAGTGTATTTACTGATTGGTGCTCCCGTTTTCGTTGGAAATTTCCAGATGTCCCTTCACCTGCAAAATGTTCATACGTCTGCCAGAACATATCTCGTGAGGTATTCGGTGTTTCTGCAGTTGTCTCCTGTATTAGCATTTTTAATGGAATATCATCATCCTCACTTGCACTGTCAGCAACAGTTGTGCTTCCTCCCTCTAACTCACGAATTTTGTTTTTGAGTACTTCATACATCTGTTCCTTTTCTGTGCTGTCAAAAAAATTATTTTTGAAGCGTGGATCCAACAGAGTGGCCACTGTAAAGTATTCGTCACTAAAAATGTGGCTAAACCGCTTTTCTAAATTTTTTTAAGGGCGCCTCTAAGTGCGTCTACACCACAAAATATATCTTTAGAGTTGTTGCTTAAATAAGAAATCAAAGTTTTTACCAAAGGAATTACTTCTGATAAACAGCAATCTCTTTTGCTTGCAAGATTTGTCAACTCTTCAAACGGTTGTAAAAGATTTATAACATCTTTTGTCAGCGCCCATTGCTGATAAGTTAAATCAGATAAATCTGGATAGTCCAGGATGTACATACTTATAGCTGTTTTTTGCTCAAGTAATCGTTCCAGCATGTAGTATGTTCCATCTTGTTGTTATATCTTGGATAAGTCTTTTTGACGGGAGATTCATCTGATCTTGTACAGGGTGGGGCAAAAGTCACGAAGGGACTTGAAAAATTAATAACTTTTTTAAATTTATTTTGTTTTCATTTTTTTTTTCAGGACCGTGTAAAATAAATCCTGGAGATTAATTATGGAGCGTTACAACCTCAATCAACGAACCAAACTTATAGAATTTTATTTTGAATATCACCATTCAATAATTCAAACTCAACGAGCATATCGTCGTCATTTCAATTTGCGGAATTCGCCCTCTGAATCAATGATTCGACGCTTAGTGGCACGATTTCAGCAACAAGGCACAGTTATGGATCTCCCACGAAGCGGAAGGCCACGTTCCGCAAGAAATGAAGGGAACATTCAACGCGTTCAGGAGAGTGTTCAGGAGAATCCGGAAACCTCAACCCGAAGACGTTCTGCTGAGCTGCAGATGTCTCAAAGGTCTTTACGCAGAATATTAAGAGGAAATTTACATCTGTTTCCATATAAAGTGCAGCTAGTGCAAGAACTAAAACCAGCAGATTTTCAAGAACGACTAACTTATGCAGTTCGCTTGCAAAGAATGGCTCGAGAAGATAATGAATTTATTCATTCTCTGATCATGAGCGATGAAGCCCATTTTCATTTGAATGGCTTCGTAAATAAGCAGAACTGCAGAATATGGGGTACCGAGAACCCAAGGGTGGTTCATCAAAGGCAATTACATCCGCTTAAATGTACAGTATGGTGCGCAGTTACGTCTCAACGAATTATTGGACCATTCTTCTTCGAAGACCACGATGGGAATGCTGTATCTGTAGATGGCGACCGATATCGTGATATGATTCAAAATTTCTTAAGACCAGCTCTTGCTGACAATCAAACGATGACTTTCCAACAAGATGGAGCCACTGCGCATACTGCTCGAGCCACTATGCACCTTCTAAGGCAGATTTTTGGCGAACGTTTAATTTCGAGAAATTCAGGATTCAATTGGCCCGCCCGCTCGCCGGACTTAACAGCCCCTGATTATTTCCTTTGGGGATATCTGAAAGGAAAAGTGTATATTAATAAACCCACAACCCTGCAGCAACTAAAAGATAATATTCGAGCAGAAGTAAGTGCTTTGGGGCCAGATATTCTGACTCGGGTAATGGAAAATGCTCTTGCAAGAGCTGCACTTTGCGAGGCTGAAAATGGCGGTCATTTGCGTGATGTAATCTTTCACACTTAAATTGTAAACAAACTCCAAACATTGCATTTTAGTTTTGTGTTAGGGAAAAAAATTAAAATTAAAATTTAAAAAAGTTATTAATTTTTCAAATCCCTTCGCGACTTTTGCCCCACCCTGTATTTTCTTCAGTTTATCACAGGCAGTCGAAGAGTGATTAAAGTGAGATACAATTCTTCTTGCTTTGATGATAATATCTGTCACTGATCTTTGGCAACCAAGAGAATCTTTTATTGTCAATTGTAAAGTGTGAACAAAACAACTCTGGTATTTTATTCGTGCATCAGACAATCCTTTTTTCATATTTGCAGCGTTATCAGCAAGAATTATATGAATTTGGTCTTTGTCTAGCTTCCATTGCTCTAGTAAAAGTTTAACCATCTCGGATATATTGTCAGCTGTATGACTGCCTGGGAAACTCCTACATGCCAGAACGAATGATTCTCTATGGGTAGATACGTATTTATTCCAAAAATGAGCAGTCAAAGAAATAAAGGAGAAGTTGTTGTATTGGCAGGTCCATATATCTGATGTTAGTGACATTTTTCCAATCATTTGATCTATTTTCTTCTGCACGCACGCTTTGCATCGTTGAAATATATCAGGAATAACAGTTTCACGAAAATACTTATCTGATGGTATTTCATAAGAAGGGAATGCTTTTTTCAGTAAACGAGTGAAACCAATATCAGTAGTAAGGGAAAATGGTTGGTTGTCCACTGCTATCATCTCGCCAATCAGGTAATGGATTTCCTTTGACTTTGCTGAATTCAAGTCCCATTTATGAAGTCTCTCCAAAGCTGCTGAAATTTTTGGTTGATGGGATGGCCTATCGCTGTGATGCTTCGATGTAAATGGTTCAGAGTTTCTTCTTTCCTGCATCTTCGAACTTTCCAGATCCACAAGTCCACCTATAAAATTTGATCTTTGTTATAATTGGATAATTATTTTGGATATAAAATTTAGAAACAACACCTAACTATGAAAAACATTACTCTTGAATAGACATACACATAAGTTTTGAACGAAAACTAGAAAACATTCTTACCTGGGTTATTTAAGGTCTGCATTTTTGAATACTCGTCTTTGTGATGTTTAGATAAATGATACTTCATATTTGAAGTGTTGGCTGTTTTCCCTCTGCCGCCCAAGGAAACCTGTTTTTTACATATCATGCATATAACACTATCAGATTCGTTAGTCCTCCGATCGGAAACTCTATCAAAATATTTCCAAAGAACGCTACTTTTCCTCATGTTTGACATTTTTTGTAGAGAGCTAAACCTGAAGCAACCAACGCCGTTCAAGCAAATATTATGACTTGCATAGACGTGCTTGTCGCCTACGTGCTTCGCCCAAGGTTACCGAACCGAAACACACCCGATGGTGCGCGGAAACAGACGAACGGCCGATAGGCCGATATGGCCGGTATATCGGCCTGCGACATATCGGTATCGGCCGATATATCGGTATCGGTGAAAATCCTATATCGGTCGATCCCTACTTTAAACATGGAACGAAATAATGTAAAAAGAATAGTGGCAACTGAAACAGGGTTCAGATTGGGCGACTAACTGAAAACTTATTTATTAAATAAAATTTTAAACGAGCATCTAAAGAGTAAACTAATTTCATTAGAAAAACGCATATAGGATCACTATTAGATAAATTATAGAGGTGAAAAGGGCTCACTTGTAAATAGCCAAGAATGTGTTTCAGAACTATGGGATCAAACTTATAGGGGTTATTCAGTGTAACAGTAGAAAACATTTGAGTCTAGGGAAACATATCCGGCGCTCGTGTGTTGTTATCTTTAAAAACGATAACAGAGATTGTTTTTTGTAGCTGCATTCCATATCGCCTTAGTCGTGCTATCGTATTTGTGGAGTTTGCAAGAATTTAACAATAATTAATTGTTGCTAATGGAAAACTGGCGGATATGCATTTGACATACGGAGCAACAAGCTGCAATGCACGAGCAGCAGCACGGTTGTATCAAGAACGTTGTTTTATGTTTATGTTTTATGGACCGATGAAGCCTCTTTCATAAGAGATGGTATTTTTTATAAAAGGAATAGCCACGTTTGGAACAAAGAAAATCCCCATGCAAGTTTTCCTAGAAAACATCAGCAACGTTGGTCTGTCAACGTATGGGCAGGCATTGTTGATGATTATTTGATTGGGCCATACCTTCTACCGGAACGGTTAACAGGACCTATTTTTTTTTGAAAATGTTCCATTGAACGTTCGACAGCAAATGTGTTTTCAACATGATGGAACGCCGGCTCACTTTGCAGTACAAATACGTGAGTATTTGGCTCAGCGGTTTGGGCACCTTTGGATTGCCAGAGTTGGGGCAGTTTCTTGGCCTCCTAAGTTGCCCAATTTAACGTCGCTAGATTTTTTCCTGTGGGGACATGTAAAGTCTTTGGTTTACGAAACTCCAGTAGAAACAGAGCAAGACTTAATTGGACGAATTACAGCAGCATTTGAAATCATTCAAAACGAGTATAAAATTTTTAGTCAAGTCCGCCGAAATCATGTTCGACGTTTAAATCGGTGTATTCAGGTTGGAGGAAGAGATTTTGAATAATTGTTGTGATGATATCATGTACAAAAGGCAAAAATTAAATGCATTAAATCCCATTTAGGCAATTCATCGTCTTTCTATATTTTAACGCGTCTTAGGGCCGTAGTACCGTAGTGACAATTTTCCGGATATATTTTCTACTGTTACACTTAATAACCCCTAGAAGTTTGATCCCTTAGTTCTGAAACTCCCGGTATAGTGAAAATTTTAGGAGTGTGTAAACTTTTCCACTATCAAGACACATAATTGTGGACACACAAGAAACGTGTAATTCGAAGTGCGCGTGTATTCTGCTACCGCGTGGTGAAAACCTAAGCTACGATTTACACTTGAAAATAATGAAACTTTAGCGAATGTCGAGCCAAGGAGTCTGTGAAATTCATCACCCGTGTGAGTTAGCGCAATGGTTTAGAGTCCTTGTAAGCAACTCGATAAGAACTATTCGAGAGCTCGCATCAACTTTTTGCCGAAATAACAGAGCCGGGAGACGATAAACCGCAAACACACGAAGTCAACAAGCTAATGTTGCAAATTCGAGAGCTACAGGGTTACATTTAAAGTTTCATATTGCACTATAATCAAGTTTTTGGTCCGTTTAACTTTAGCTTTCTCCTAATCCTTTTAAGTAAACTTCCGACAACAACTTCCACGGCGCGGACACGTTACTGACTGAGGTAATAAAAACTTCCATAAAATTTAATTATGGAGAAGTTAGCAGGAGTACATGTAACTCCTCTCCGTGCCATTGTGCTAGGAACTTCTGACTGCGCTATTAAAAATATGTGCTAGCTAACGTGACACGAGAAATACTAGCGTATGCTTAGCGCTATGCATTCAGGTGGACAACTTTTTGGGACGACTGCTAGATGTAGAATAGGTGTATTGCACAAGCTTCAGTGCTACAGCTATTGGACAGCATATCACAAATGATTCACGATGATCCTTTTGCCTGACTAAATGAGAGAAAGGGCCCGACTATTGAGTTTTAGGTACAGTTGAGGCACTTTAACAGCATATAATACCTAAGCACATAATTTGCCGACTTACACAGTTGTATAGAGTTGTCCAGAAGTTCAGGAGCGGCATGATATTTGAGAATCTTCGACAAACATTATAATAGGGACTGAGGATGTTTCCGGTCCTAGTCAGTGATGGCTTTGAATTAGACCTAGATCATGACCTTGAAAGTGAAACCAAGGTCAAGATGATTAGTTTAAGTGGGACCGCATACTTTTGACCCCAAAAATAGAGCGGCAAATTTTACAATCAGGGTTTTAGTGGGTATACAGTGCTTTTCTTTAATGTCCCCTTCCCCTTGAACTCTTTGAACGGATCAATTGAAAAAATTAAAACTTGAGGTAAATGAAATTGATGCGTGGATATCATATTTTAGAGTAAAATTGACAGATGAAAATTTCATGATGAAAAATTATATGAAAGCATGGGTCTTGTGGCACGTCATTTTGAAGCTCCTGACGAGTACTTTATAACTCTAGAATATAAAGTCATTACCTTTACCTACGACGAAATGGTGGTACATTTAATAATTACTTGAACACAAACCCACTGACATGCATTGCATATCTCTACAAATAATTGTAATTCCCTGCCGTATCCACAGCAACAGCGATAAAAGCTTGTTTTGTTATTTTTTGTTGACAGTGACAAGAACATCAGTACGAAAACAAACATCATTGTGCAGTTATAAAATATTCTTATTTAGTTTTCGGTTTTAGTGCTAGATACTGTTCGAACTATTTTTAAACTGGTCAATCATCGTCCATTGAAAGGAAAAATCGAAGCGATTTTTATTTATGGTGCGACGCATAACTTTCAAGAGACCAAAAGGATTTTTAATGATCGTTTCCCGAATCGTTCTATCTGTGGAAAATATTTAAAGGAACTTGTATCTAAATTTGCAGCTACTGGTAGTGTAAACAACAAAAAGCCCCCAGGTCATTCGACCATTCCGGAAGAAAAGCAAGTTCAAATAATTGGTGAGATCATAGTAAATCCCCAAACAGTCTACCTCCTCCATCGCGAATGCATGTGAGGTTTGTCCTTCTACTATATGGAGACTTTTGAAAAAGAATAAGTATCACCCATACAAAATTTGAATGGTACATCAGCTAACTGAAGATGACCCTGATCGAAGAACAGAATTCTGCGAGACTATGACGGAAACAATTGCACGGCATCCTACCTATATCCAAAATATTTGTTTTAGTGATGAATGTACATTTCTTCTCAACGGTAATATGCACAGACAAAATTGTCGTTATTAGAGTGACACCAATCCTCACATCTTCTGGGAAACTCATACTCAAGATCCACAAAAAATTAACCTTTGGGCTGGGATATTGGGAGATCATATTGTGGGGCCTCTATTCATCGAACAAACTGTAACCGGGGAACTGTATTTGGATATGCTGGAAAGTACTATTGACCCTCTAATCACCGAAATCGTCGAAGCGAGTCCTAATTAATTCGATACTGATATTGTATTCCAGCAAGATGGTGCTCCACCATAGTACTACAGACAAATTAGGAATTATTTAGATAACAATTTCCCCGGTCATTAGATTGGCCGTCGAGGTCCTGTGGAATGACACCTTTAGACTTTTGTTATTGGGCTATTTGAAGCAAAAGGTGTACGAAACTGATCCTGCTTCAATATTGGATACACGGCTGAGAATAACAAATATTTATAGAAATATCGATGTTACTATGTTTGAAAATGTTCGACGCGAGATTACCGACCGGCTGTTATTGTGTCAAGAAGTTCAAGGCAACCATTTCCAGCATCTTCTAAAGTAAACTCAACATATTTATTCGAATTATCAAGTTAAATGTCAATGTATTCAGATAATTATTAAATGTACCACCATTTTGTAGTAGGTAAAGGTATTGACTTTATATCCTAGGGTTATAAAGTACTCGACAGGAGCTTCAAAATGATGTGCCACGAGACCCGCGTTTTCATATAATTTTTTCTCCAAGATGGCGTCTAGTGGCCATCTTGACATGTTCATCTGTCAATTTT